AGCAGGTGCGACCTTCTCTGATCCAAATTCCCATAGGAGCACGCTAAAAAAGAAAAGAGAACGACACACAAAACAATAGAACAGTAATGCAATCCAGTTTACATCAGATATCAACATGAGTAGAATAAAGGGATGTGTTTGATGGGAAAGATGAGGCTGGTTAAATGATGGATGGACTTCAGCTGCATAGTATGTTCCTTCCCCATGTAATCAGTGCTCCTTGACCTGCCATGTTTTCAGAAGTAAGCGCTTTGGAAGCCTTCCTGCGCTCCCTATGATAAATATATGGCTTACAATGCTCGGATAAAGTGGAGGTGACAGATTATCTACAGCAGAATTGATTTCGCACTCCAACTAAAGTATATTAATAACTGCTCTATTCTTGTCATTGTCACCTGGGAAACAACGATAAAAAAAACTTACAAAAATGAGAACAATACGTTAAATTCCAACCAAAAGCGCTCTTGTCACCTATTGTGGGATTAATTCCTTGTCCTATTACCATAATCAATCTGAACATTTAGATGATAGCTGGATGTTGCTGATGTTGCTGATGTTGCTGAAATTCTCCTGGTGAATTTGTGAAAATGAAATCTACACCATGAAATTGTTACCATTCTTGAACATTACAGATTGCTAGGACTCACTGACATGAATGCTCAAAGAAAGCTTGGGCATGAGTTTTAATGTACTTTAGATAAAATCTAAAACATTCTAAAGATAACGGTGAGAGCGGCGATGTGTGGTTTCATCATTTGTGCCTCTGCTATCACTTTTCACATAGCTCTTCACACCTGTCAAGCCCGGGCGCTCCTATACTGCTAGCCTTGCAGCCGGCCTGACACATTGTAACACAGAGCAGGAGATGGCTACAGGGAGATGGGGAAATCTTTCACGCATTATTATTTGTGGTGCATTGTGGTTTCTTTGTTTCCCTGGATACCTCAGGACAGCATTCACAGCGTGAAAAATGTTCAGATCGGCTCCATTCAAAAGAATACAAAAGCGTCAATATGTCCGTCTATCTAAGCTATCTACAGTATCTACAGTATCTATCTATCTATCTATCTATCTATCTATCTATCTATCTATCTATCTATCTATCTATCTATCTATCTATCTATCTAATCTATCTACGGTATCTCTCTCTCTCTTATCAATCTATATGTCTATCTATCTATCTATCTATCTATCTATCTATCTATCTATCTATCTATCTATGATTGGAATATCAGTATCTATCTATGTACTGCACAACTGTGGAATCGTTATTCTCTCCATGCTTGATATAGGATATATACATAACAGTAGTTCATAGAGTTATAAACCTGACATAGTTCATAATTAGAGAGCTCAGTGTTGGTTTTGGCCTAGCCGAACAGTGAGGTTCACATACAGTGTGCGGCGCAGCTGCTGGGAAAGGAAAACCTTCCGCTCATCCAGTACACTCATCTACACTGCACTGATTCATTAGTCAACGAGGCTGACCCACAATTGAGCATGAAAATGTAATTACTGTTCATCATACAGATAATTTGCATCAGACGCCTGGCATTTGTGACATTTTGAAGTGCTAATCTTTAATTTCTGCTAATTATAACCACTGCAGTGCTGGACGTGGAAGATGGAGGCACCTGCAATTTACCGAGCACCAGAGCCCAGTGCCAGTGTGACTAGGCAATACATCAAGTGGATCGTGTTAGCATACTCACCCCTAACAAGCAGTTCTGCCTCATCTGATACACTGTCAGCCGTGGTCTGCACCCTGCAGCCATATCTCCCAGCATGCACCAGAAGAATGTTCCTAATCATTAAATCTGCAGAGGAGGCTTGCTGCAAAAGAAATGAAGGTCCAATTAAGTACATTAGAAATCTAAATATGCAATTTGCATCACAAAAGCATGAAAAAAGAATCGACATTTAAAGCACAGCTCAACTGAAACACATACATAGTTAGTAAAGCAATGCTCATACTTTTGAGATCCACCCATGCCGAATGTGCTATATGGCTGCCAGGGGGAGGATGACAACACTTTTCAGAGCAAAGAGGTTTGGCAGATTTGGTGCCAGCCGAATGAGCATTTCTACAAAGATCACGCTTATTACGTGATTTATCATCCTTAAAGGCCACCATTGTTCCTTCCTCTCCAACCGGTCAGTTGGCACTCGACCTGCAAGCCCAGGTTTCACTTTCATATTGCATGTGACACCATCAAAGACAGATTTCTTAGTTACATAGTAGGAGAGGTGGAATAAAGACACAGGTCCGTCAGGTTCAACCTATATATGTGTGTGTGTGTGTGTGTGTGTGTGTAAAGGTTTTTACGCTTATTCAGATGCTGATTAGATCACTTACAATGGATGCCGCTGCTTTATATTTAAATGTTGTCGGTTCCTGAATCAACTGTTTTCCTGAGCACTGGCCCTGATATTCTGTTTTTGGGTGGCTCCTTTCCCTATGGAGCCTCCCTTGCGTTTTGCCAGCAAGCTGTGTGTATCCACAAGGTACACAAAACAGAATTGGATAGTGCATTTGAGATGAGAGAACAAACCACAATACAGTTGAACTAGTTTTAAAAAATTTTTTTATTACAAAAACTCTTATTGACATAGAAAACAATAAAATATCCATGAAGACTCATAAAAGCAAGTCACCATTGTTGGCAGAGGATTATCAGAGGTTGAGGAGTCTATCCCACGTGCACTGCAAATAAGGAAACACATCCATGTCAGTGTTATTCAACCAAGTTATATGGGGGAGTTAGCTGGCTGTCTATGAACTCCAGTTTCTTGCCCCGTTAAGATATTGGACCGAACTGCAAAAGACTCTGATAATCCTCTGCCAACAATGGTGACTTGCTTTTATGAGTGTTCATGGAGATTTTATTGTTTTCTATGTCAAAAAAAGTTTTGTAAATTCTTTTAAAACTGGTTCAACTGTATTGTGGTTTTCTCATCTCAAAAGCACTATCCAATTCTGTTTTGTGTATCTAATCTAATCTAATCAGGGTGAGATGAGAATTTTTTTTTTCGGGAAACCTGACAATTATACCTCTGTGTGTCTCCACAAACACACAGGCACGGCGAGGCAAGCTACTTCCCTGCTGCCTGCTCCTCCTACTTCCTCTCTCCTCTTTTTTTCTCTTTCCCAAGCTAGTAGATGGATGGCTGCTGGAGACTGTGCTCTCCCTTGTGATCTTGTACAGGACAGGAAGTTCAAGGAAGCCGAGGTGAGAGAGTTGGAGCTGTTTGGAAACATGATGACTCTAAGTGTTTTCGGGCAAAAAATACATACTGAGCTGTGCAGTGTATATTTGTTTGATCTGGATTAATTATTGAAAAAGTTTAATACTACTAAGTGCAACTGAAGCCAAAGAATGTTATTCTTTTTTTGGATAGCGTGGAGAGGGATTAGAATAGTGATGCACCGATACCGGTATTTTGGTACGGAGTACGAGTACCGATAATTTTTTTTCGGTACTCGCCGATACCAATTACCGAGTAACGGAAGTCCCATTCAGGAAGCCAGGTGGCGTGTAATGACTCACCAACCTGGCATCCTGATTAACAAGAAAGTCCCCTCTTACCTTAGTATGTGCAGCCTGTCACCCCCGGGGCCTCTCCAGTGAGAATGCGGCCTTCGTCGCGACGCCCTTCTTTCTGATTGGCCGGGAGGCCGGCTCCATGCTCTCTTGTCATGAGATGACGAGGGAGAATGAAGCCAGCTTCCCGGCCAATCGGAAAGCAGGGTGTTGCGTCATTAGACGGCGCCCGGCTTCCTGATTGGACGGCTCCGGCTGGGTACCGGACGAAGGCCGCGTTCTCACTGGAGAGGCCCCGGGGGTGACAGGCTGCCCATACTAAGGTAAGGTAACCTTACCTCATGAGGCCAGCTCCCTGATTGCCAGCTTCCCGACCAATCAGGAAGCCAGGCAGCGCGTCATTACACGCTGCCCGGTTTCCTGATTGGCCAGGAAGTCGGCTCCATGCTCCCTCATCACAAGTGACGAGAGAGCATGGAGCTACTTCCTGGTCAATCGCGAAACCGGGCAGCGTGTAATAACGCGCTGCCCGGATTCCTGATACCGGAAGTACTCGTGCTAGGCATCGGAGCATTTGGGCGAGTACGAGTACTTGCCCAAATACTCGGAATCGGCACCGATATCGATACTAGTATCGGTGCCTCCCTAGATTAGAACACTCATCAGATTTTGTTATCGCTGTCTGTGCCCCCTATACGGAGATTCACTCTGTCTGATGACCGTTATCACTGAAAGTCTCATCTCAAATTTTGAGTTGTCATCAGAACAGGAATAGGTGGGAATTTTCCAACAGGGACACTAGTTCTAGTAACCCTGCTAAACATCAGGGATTCCCTTTACTTTGGAGGGATTTCCTCTTACTTGCTGTTGTGGCTACTGGACAAGAAAATCTTTCCAATGGACCAATGCGGATGAAAAAAAAAAGCTAAGAGGTGTTATAACCCTCCCTTGCTCTAGCCAAAGCTAAAACAAGTTTTGGCTTGTTTAATTTAAATAAATAAAAATGCCTTAAAGCAGAACTCTGGGCAAAATTGTTATTAACCCTTGCCATGGGGCCACCACCGCACTCCAAGTGCTGAGCGCTCATTTTCATCTAGGGACTAAAATAACAAAGTTATACTCACCTAAATCTCAGAGCTGGCTTTCTCTTAGACCGGTTCCTGGACTGTCTCTCCCTCTTCACTGCAGCGGTCTAAGGATCCTCAAGTCATCACATCCAGTACACTGTGTATTGGACATAAGCACGCCGAGGGATATAGCATCACTGGAGTGAAGGATGAGACATGCAGGAGGGAGCACTGTGACAGCCAGCCAGAATGGAGGATCGGGGGAGTATAGCTTTTATTTTAGTCCCTAGACCAAAATGAGCAATTATCCCTTGCCGTGTGGGTATAGCCCCACTGCAAGGGTTAACAACAATTTTGCCCAGAGTTGTTCTTTAGGGATTTCAAGATATTTTTTTTGAAAAAATAAACTTATTTCTCTCTCCCACATTTGTTTTCTTTATGTATAATTTATTGTTTAAAGCATATCTAACACCCAAATCAAAGAAATTAATATATTACAGATTATGATTCCTTAGATGTGGTGGCTGCAGTAGGCTTACACTCTTTTCAGCAAGTACAGAAAATACCTGCTGCTCTTGCCAAAAATCCAGTGCCCTTGTCACTTCCTGTCAGCTGGAAAGAAAGCACAAACATCCCTATCATTCTTGTGTAAATTACAAATCTCATTTATCCACCATGAAATGGGGATGAACAAAGGCTGTTGGAAGTCAAGCATGTGTGGCAACCACGGCTCCCTCCATAGATACAATGGAGAAATGAGTATGGACATGAAGGGGTAGAAAACGTTTTTAATTGCACGATTAACAGGTGAAAATAAAGGGGGAAAAATCTGGGGGAAAACATTAATGCAGCCAAGTCATCTAAGGACTGGCAATAGATTACCTTTTTTGTATTTGGGTTTAGATACACTGTAAAGGAAAATTCCAATTACATGTAAAGTGAATCTATAGCCAGACAATCGCCAGTCAACTCTTTACATGTACATAACAGAGTATTATAAATGATGCTGGGTCATTGGGTTTGTTTCTTTTATAATACATTATTTTAGTTCATTGTGTGCACATTGCCCTTTTCTGCAGCTCTTAGAATCTTTTTTTCTGTTTGTGTATATGCATCCAAGACAGGAGGGCAGATCTCATGGCAATGATATGCCAGCCCAGAAATGACATGCCGATGGACAATGTGCAGCCAATCTATTGTTTGTCAATCGCAAGAGAGCTAGGCGTTCCTGTATTCATAACTGGCTTGTACAGGCTGGTCTGAATGTGCTGAGGCACTTTTATCATAGCATGACAAAACTATTCCTGTATAGGGACACATAGGGATGTATAAGGACATAAGTGTGCATACTCATTCAATGACCAGATGGTGGTTTTATGGCTCTTACAGATAGGATTACCAATTACTGCCATAGAGTGCCTCCAGAAAAAAAAAAAAAACATAATGGATGCCTTATTAAGGTATGGTAAGCTACCATTTCTTACATTTTCAATTTTGGCACTCCATACATTTTTTCAATAACCTTTAAAACAGGCCCTCCCAGACTTCAGGACAATGTACTACTGGACCCAGTATGTTCTCAGCTAATACTGCGTTCAGGCCATTAATCAAGACCCTGCAGGTTAGATGGCTCTGTGTTGCCCGAACTCCAGAGTGTTGTCAATCTTCTCAAGTCTGGTTTAGGTGTCTCGTAGACTGATGTAAAGCACAAGCTACAAAAATTAAATACACTTTTCTAAGACCTTTTGATTTTCTCAAAGGCAGGAAACTAAACTTTTAATTGTGTGAATTTTTCAAGCTCACTGTTAAGGTCTTTGATTTTCACCATGAGAAATTGCAATTATAGCAATGCTGGCTTTCATTCACAATGACAGATTCTTCTTTTGCAAAGTCTAAATATTTTACAAGCCTGCTTTAGCACAAAGCATAGAAGCAGGGGAGGAAGGGCCCACATGGGGGTGGAGGAAACACCTGAGTATGTGTGCCTGAAAAATGCAGTAAATGGTACCTAGTAATTTTTTACTAACATTTGTATCGTCATTTGCTGTCAATATCATGCCTGGCATTCTGTACCAATTGTTTTTAACCAGCCAAGCAACCCCCCACCATTAATTTTGAAGTGCATTGGCAACTGCCACCTGGCTGCAACCCTACCTCCATCTTCCGCTGTGCCTGCACACACATCTTTCCTTAGCCAGAAGCTTGATCTGATGTTGGACTCCCT